AAAAAAAAAAAAAAAAAAAAAAATCTGTAAAAAAAAGAAGGGAAGAGACTGGGGAGGGAGGAGACGATGCTGGGTCCAGGTCGTCCTGCTGTGTGAAGTGGACACCAGCGGCTGCCGGCAGGGGGGTAAAGGCCTGGGGGAGGAGATTTCTGCCCTCAGCCAGCAGGACGCCCCTCAGCCTCTTGGTTAGGAGCCCAGCAAGCTGGGTGCCCTGGAGAGGCAGCCCAGGCAGGGCTGTGGCTGCAGCAGCCCCGGGCAGGCGCTCCCCAGCGAAGTGGAGGCAGCATTGGGTGGGGACTAGGGTTGGGGGCGGAAATTCTGGGAGGTGGGAGCCACCCAGGGTGGGGAGAGAGCCTGGAAGCCGGCCCGCCTCCAGGGAAGTGGAAGTGGTTTAAAAACACAGTGGGCTTTTCCGGTTGCTAGTAACACACAGAATTACAGAGTTCAAGTTCAGTCCCACATGGGAGACTGAGGCTCGAGATGGTGAGGAAGCCGTCTGCCATCTGGGGCTGGGGCTCCTGATGACCCACACCCGCTCAGCGGCCCAGCCCTGGGCTCCCGAGATGCTCAGGCCGGAGAGCAAGGTGACGGTGGTTCAGGAGCGTCGTCCTCCACGTCTCCGAGGCCCCTGCGGTGGTTCGGGCGCCAAGGGGCCTGTGGGGCTCTTAGTGGCACATCCGGGCGGTCATTTCTTTCTGTTAAGAGCAAGCAGGACATCAGCTACCACCAGGCGTTCCCGAAAGGGTGACGTGGACAGCAGGCACCGGAGATGCACAGGAGACGTGGCAGCTGGGGACGTCCCTGAACCCCCAAACAACAACACCGGATGGGCGATGGCGCGCCTGAGACAAGGGACAGCAGACTACCCCATGGGGCCGGACTCAGCGCCTGCAGATCTGTGGCCAGACGGTCCCTGCCGTGATGGCTCAACTCTGTCTTTTTTTTTTTGAGATGGAGTCTCGCTCTGTCGCTCAGGCTGGAGTGCAGTGGTGCGATCTCGGCTCACTGCAACCTCCGCCTCCACGTTCAAGGGATTCTCTTGCCTCAGCCTCCCGAGTAGCTGTGATTACAGGCACCTGACACCATGCCTGGCTAATTTTTGAATCTTTAGTAGAGGCGGGTTTCACCATGTTGGCCAGGCTGGTCTTGAACTCCTGACCTCGTGATCCACCTGCCCAGACCTCCCAAAGTGCTGGGATTGCAGGCGGGAGCCACAACGCCTGGCCTTAATCTTTTTTGTTGTTGTTGAGACAGGCTACTGGCTCTCACTCAGGCTGGACTGCAGTGGCACGATCTTGGCTTACGGCAGCCTAGACCTCCCAGGCTCAAGGGATTCTCCTGTCTCAGCCCCCTGAGTAGCTGGGACCACAGGCACGCACCACTGCGTCTAATTTTTTTTTTTTTTTTCCCCGAGATGAGGTCTCACTATGTTGCCCAGGCTGGTCTCAAACTTCTGAGCTCAAGTGATGCTCCTTCTTTGGCCTCCCAAAGGGCTGGGATTACATGTGGGGTCCACCTCGTCTGGCCATTTTTAACCACTTTTTAAAGCTGTAAGAGAGCAGTGGCTCTCACCTGTAATCGTTGGGAGGCCCAGGCAGGAGGACTGCTTACTTTCTTTTTTTTTTTTTGAGACGGAGTTTCGCTCTTGCTACCCAGGCTGGAGTGCAATGGCGCGATCTCGGCTCACTGCAACCTCCACCTCCTGGGTTCAGGCAATTCTCCTGCCTCAGCCTCCTGAGTAGCTGGGATTACAGGCACGTGCCACCATGCCCAGCTAATTTTTTGTATTTTTAGTAGAGACGGGGTTTCACCATGTTGACCAGGATGGTCTCGATCTCTTGACCTCATGATCCACCCGCCTCGGCCTCCCACAGTGCTGGGATTACAGGCTTGAGCCACCGCGCCTGGCCCTGCTTACTTTCATGAGTTTGAGACCAGCCTGGACATCGTAGTGAGACCCCATCTCTACACACAAGAAGAAATCAGCCGGGCAAGGCAGGGCGCAGCTGTGGTCCCAGCGACTCGGAGGCTGGTGGGGTCCTGTTCTCACATCAGGGTCCCCACAGCCACACAGCGCCCAGCAGTCTGGGGAACAAAGCAGCCCCGGGAGGGTTCCCGTGCCAGGCCCTGAATCACTGGCACCCACTCCACTGCTGGCCCCATCACCCAGTCACAAATTTGGGCCCCAATCTCAGGAAGTGACATTGGCTTCAGTCACGTGGACCCCACACTGAGGAATCTGGTCCCTGGGTTGGTCTCCCAAGAAAACCAGGTAAGGTGGAAGGCAGGTAGGCAAGGGCAGGCTGGCTGCGGGAGCCCGGTGGAGTCCAGGCTGCGCGCGGTGGCTCATGCCTGTAATCCCAGCACTTTGGGAGGCTGAGGCAGGCGGATTGCCTGAGCTCAGGAGTTCGCGACCAGCCTGGCCAACATGGTGAAACCCCATCTCCACTAAAAATACAAAAGTTAGCCAGGTGTGGTGGCGCGCCTGTAGTACCAGGTCCTGGGGAGGCTGAGGCAGGAGAATGGCTTGAACCTGGGAGGTGGAGGTTGCAGTGAGCTGAGATCGCACCACCTCACTCCAGCCTGGGCTAGAGCACGAGACTCCATCTCAAAAAAAAAAAAAAAAAAAGTCGGGGTGGAGTCCCCTGGCTCCGGCTTGCAGCCCTTCCATAAGGGACGCTGCGCAGCGCTCAGGACCCCTGACCTCAGGACTGTGAAGATGGAATGAGCTGGAGGTGGGGTCGGCACCGAGCTGGGGAGGAACCCGCACCTGTCGTCCGTGCAGAATGCAGGGTCCCTCCCGGCTACCTCACCACCTGTCCCATCAGCAGGGAGAGATCGGGTCACCCGCTGCTGGGCCGACTACGGGCAGTCAGGCGTCCTGGTCCCGGAAGGGTTCCTCTGCCACCGGCCTCCACGGTAACCCCGCGCCCTGGAGCCCCACGCCCCCACTGTAATCCCATGCCCCCACTGTAACCCCGTGTCCTGGAGCCCCACGCCCCCACTGTAATCCCACGCCCCCACCGTAACCCCACGCCCCCGCCGTAACCCCGCGCCCGGGAGCCCCACGCCCCCACTGTAATCCCACGCCCCCGCCGTAACCCCGCGCCTGGGCGCCCCAAGCCCACACACCAGTGGCTCCAGCTCCTTGGTGTCGATGAGGCCGAACTCCTTGACGAAGTAGTAGAAGTGCTTGTAGCAGGTATTCACGTGGGCCTCGGAGCCCATCTGCGCAATGCGGTCGAAGTGGTGGATGTAGACGTGCACAAACACGCGGAACAGCCGCGACAGGATCTTCCGCACCGTCTGCAGGAAGTTCTTGGGGAAGGGTGTGCCTGCCGCGAGAGAGACGGGGGCGCGCGCACGGACTCAGCCAAGTCCACGTCCAGAACCCCCTGCTCATGGATGTGACGAGGGGCTTCCAGGCAGACATCGCTGGCAGACCGGGCACACTGGCTCATGCCTGTGATCCCAGCACTTTGGGAGGCCGAGGCAGGAGGATCACTTGAGGTCAGGAGTTTGAGACCAGCCTGGCCAACGTGGTGAAAACTCATCTCTACTAAAAATACAAAAATCAGCCGGGCATGATGGCATGCACCTGTAATCTCAGCTACTCAGGAGGCAGAGGCAGGAGAATCTCTTGAAGCCGGGAGGCGGAGGTTGCAGTGAGCCATGATGGCACCACTGCACTCCAGCCTGGGTGACAGAGTGAGACCCTATCTCAAACAAAAAAAAAAGAAAAAAGTAAAAGAAAGGTATGCGGTCCTCCGGAGAGACGCACCCGAATGATCATCCACAAACACGCGTGGACGGGGTATCCCTGAGAGCTACTCGGTGCATTACACATGGAGCGGGGCAGGAGGTCCCTCCCAGGGGCGGTGATCCTGGTGGGCCCGGGGGCTCCACGGCAGTGATTCTGAAGCCACCGAGAACGCTGGGCCGGCACTAGCAAGGGTGCTTGTCTCTGCACCAGACCCACGAGGGCCTCCAGGCCCGATGTTGAGCCCGCCCTTCTCTGCTTTGTGGTGAGGGAGACAGGCGTCACCAGGAGCGGTCCAGGATGAAGGGGGCTACGGACAGTAGAGCAGCTCAGGAGAAGACGGAGACAGGGAATCTTTTTTTTTTTTTGAGACAGGGTCCGGCTCTGTCGCCCAGGCTGGAGTGCGGTGGCGTGATCACAGTTTACTGCAGCCTCAACTTCCTAGCCTCAAGCGATCCTCCCACCTCAGCCTCCCGAGTAGCTACGATCACAGGCGTGCGCCACCACACCGGCTATTTAAAAAAAAAAATTTTTTTTTTGAGATGGGGGTCTCGCTCTGTAGCCCAGGCTGGAGTGCAGTTGTGCAAACTCAGCTCACTGCTACCTCCGCCTCCTGGGTCCCTCTTCAAGCAATTCTCCTACCTCAGCCTCCCAAGTAGCTGGGATTACAGGCACTAGCCACCATGCCCAGCTAATTTTTGTATTTTTTAGTAAAGATGGGGTTTCACCATGTTGGCCAGTCTGATCTCGAACTCCTGACCTCGTGATCCACCTGCCTCAGCCTCCCAAAGTGCTGGGATCACAGGTGTGAGCCACCGCGCCAGACCAAAATTTTTTATAGAGATGGGATCTTGCTTTGTTACCCAGGCTGAGCTCAAACTCCTGGGCTCAAGCGAACCCTGGGCTTGGCCTCCCAAAGTGCTGGCATTACGGGCATGAGCCACTGTGCTCGGCCTCCCCGACTTTTCTGGAAGGCTCTGGACCCCTGAGCCCTGGCCGCCCGCGACTCACCGACGTTGGTGGGGAAGAGGTCCTCGTTGTTGATCTGTGCCTCGATCCAGTCCATCAGCAGGTCCATGTACCGGGGCGCGGAGAGCGCCGTGGGCTTCCGGAACTTGTGCTCGTCCTGCCAGCGATACTCGTACTTGGGGCCCCCCGACATGACGGGGCAGGACTGCTCCGTGCAGCCGTCGCTGATGGTGCCGTAGATGAGGTTGACGCGGTTGAAGAAGTCCACCACGTGCACGGCCACCCAGTCGTGGAGGTCCTCGCCTGGGGGCAGCTGCACGGCCAGCCGCAGGTCCAGCCCGGCGTTGAGTGACGCCTGTGCCTTCTTGTGCAGCTCGAAGCGCTGTGTGCCCGGCTCGAATTTGCGCTTGGGGCGGAATGTCTTGTCCTTGTTGAAGACTTGCTTCAGGAAAGGGTTGGACATCTTGGTGACTGACGCCTGCTGTCCCGGAACGCTTCTGCAGAGGGGTCCTGGGTCAGCTGGCTGGGGGCGTGGACCAACCTGGGAGGACACCAAACACTCACCACGCCCCACAGATCTCCCTGTGGACCTGAAATACACAGAGAGTCAGGACCTGCTGGAGGCAACAGAGCTCCCCAGAAACTCATGCTGGGGGCACAGGTGATAGGATTTGTCTTTTGTTTTGTTTTGTGTTTTGAGACAGAGTCTCGCTCTGTTGCCCCAGCTGGAGTGCAGTGGTGCGATCCCGGTTCACTGAAACCTCTGCCGCCCAGGCCCGAGCGATCCTCCCACCTCAGCCTCCTGAGTCGCTGGGACTACAGGCACACACACCGCCACACCTGGCTAATTTTCTTTAGTTTTAGTAGAAACGGGGTCTCGCTATGTTGCCCAGCCTGTTCTCCAACTCCTGGGTTCAAGTGATCCTCCTACCTCTGCCTCCCAAAGTGCTGGGCTTACAAGTGTGAGCCACTGCGCCCAACCACAGGTGGCAGGGTTCAAAACATCCCCTGGACTTTTGACTTTTACCCATAGGGGGCCACCTCCTCAGTGGACAGACCGGAACTGCACGTGGCGAGGCACCTCACAGCAGAAGGTGCGGACGGCTGGGCCCCAAGAGCCCGCAGGGGTCTCATCCTCCCAGTGCCTGATCTGGGCCTGGACTCCTCCTCCCCGGTGCTCTGGGGCTTCAGTGTGGGGGGCAGGCTAAGACGCAGTTTACAGGGGACTGTGTGGGCCAGACTGCAGCCGCCACAAAGGAAGCCATGCCCCAGTGCCCGCAGCCTATGTGTGGGAGCCTGGGTGGAACAGGGTCTTGACGAGACGTCATCCTGTGTTACGTGGGTGGGCCCTATGGTCAGGGACAAACGTTCTCATGAGCGAGGCGGATACGGGGAGATGGCCTTGTGGGAGCGGAGGCAGAGATGGGGGTGATACTTCCACAAGCCAAGCATGGCCCAGGACGCCGGCCACCACCAGGAGCAAGGAGAGGCCTGGCAGAGTCCCCTTGGCCTCAGAGGGACCCAGCCCTGCCCATGCCCTGGTCAGGGAGGTGCGTCCCCAGAACTGAGAGGAGTCTCCGTTGTGTCGGCGTTCTCCGCATGTCACTAAGCCCATCACTGGTCACTGGGTCAGGGACCCCTGTGGTCAGTGTGACCTCTTTCGCTTGGTTACATCTGCAAAGACCCCCTTCCATATTGGGTCACATGGTGAGGTGCCGGGTGATTCCGGGGGGCGCTGTCCAGCCCAAGGTACCGTATGAGTGAGGAACCCCCCAGGAGCCGGCCCACGTCTCGTGCACGCCTGAGTGGCGACTTGTGAGACGCCTGCAGGTTGCTCTGGGGCGGGGGCCCTGGCGTCCCCTAATCCCCTGAGAATCCTCAGGAGACAGCGACCGAGTTCATCTGTCATGGGGTGCAGGGATGACCTGGGTCACACGCTGTGCCTGTGCTGGGCTCATGCTCGCCACACAGGGCCTGTCATGGCCAACAGATTGTTATTGTCACTGCCGGGATGCCGGTGCTGTGCCAGGCCCAGCGTGGATGCAGACCCCACCCTGCTCTGCTGGGTGCACCTCCTGGACGGACAGACTTGACTGTGACACTCGGGGCCAGGCCCACGCAGGGCGCTGGGCAGGGCGGGGGTCCCCACCCCAGCACAAAGAGGACCCAGACGCAGAGGGAGTCAGAGAGGGGAGGGGGAGCGAGCCCACGCCTGCCCGGGCCCACTGGGCTCCATGCAACCCTCACAAGGAATACACACACGTTCTTCACTCCCCAGTAACTCCCAACCCCCGGCACTTTTTTTTGTTTTTGAGGCAGAGTCTCGCTCTTGTACCCAGGCTGGAGTGCAGCGGCACGATCTCGGCTCACTGCAGCCTCCACCTCCCAGGTTCAAGCGATTCTCCTGCCACAGCCTCCTGAGGATTGCAGGCAGTCACCACCACACCCGGCTAATTTTTGTATCTTTAGGAGAGACGGGGGTTTCACCATGTTGACCAGGCTGGTGTCAAACTCCTGACCTCAGGCAATCCGCCCACCTTGGCCTCCAAAGTGCTGGGAGTATAGGTGTGAGCCACCTCGCCTAGCCGTGTCCAGGAGTTTGAGGCCAGCGTGAGCAACACGGTGAGACCTAGACTCCACAAAAAAACTTAAAACTCAGCTGGGATGCCTGTAATCCCAGAACTGAGGAGGGAGGATCGTCTGGGCCCAGGAGCTTGAGGCGGCAGTGAGCCACGTGCACACCGCTGCACTCCAGCCTGGCCAACAGAGTACGACTCTGTCTCAAAAAATAAAAAAATAAAATAAAAATAAGACTTTTCGATCCGCCGTCTGCACCTCAGGTGGGGCCGCCACCAAAATGCAGATTTTCGTGAAAACACTTACGGGGAAGACCATCACCCTCGAGGTTGAACCCTCGGATACCATAGAAAATGTAAAGGCCAAGAGCCAGGATCAGGAAGGAATTCCTCCTGATCAGCAGACTGATCTTTGCTGGCAAGCAACTGGAAGAGGGGCGTACTTTGTCTGACTGCAACATTCAGAAGGAGTCTACTCTTCCTTTGTGCTGGGACTTCGTGGTGCTGCTGAGAAAAGGAAGACGAAGTCTTACAGCGCCCCCAAGAAGAAGCAGCACAAGGGAAAGAGGGTGAAGCTGCTGTCCTGAAGTGTTACAAGGTGGATGAGAATGGCAAAATTAGTCTCCTGCGTCGAGGGCGCCCTTCTGATGACTCGGTGCTGGAGAGTTACGGCAAGCCACTTTGACAGACATTATTGTGTCAAATGCTGTCTGACTTACTGCTTCAACAAACCAGGAGACAAGTGACTGAGTTAATGAAAGACATGAGCTAACAATAAATAAATAAATAAATAAAAATAAGGTGTGGGCAGAGCTAGATCCTTCTGGAGGCCCCAGGGCTTAGGGTTAGGGTCCCCCCACACCCTGTAGGACAGCCCCCGCCAGAGAATGATCCGGACCCAAGTGTCCACAGGGCCAGGGGGTCAGGGCAAGAGATGTGCATTGTTTGGAAGAAAAGCAAGTGAGAGCAGCAGCTCACGCCTGTGATCCCAGCACTTCGGGAGGCTGAGCCGGGCGGGTCACCTGAGGTCAGGTGTTTGAGACCAGCCTGACCAACATGGTGAAACCCCATCTCTGCTAAAACCACAAAAATTAGCGGGGCGTGGTGGCAGGCGCCTGTAATCCCAGCTACTCAGGAGGCTGAGGCAGGAGAATCGCTGGAACCTGGTGGGCAGAGGTTGCAGTGAGCTGAGATGACGCCACTGCCCTCCAGCCTGGGGGACGGAGCGAGACCCCGTCTCAAAAAACAAAGCAAGTTACGGAAGGACCGAAGCTGGGAGATCACTGTGGATGACGGGGGGCCCAGAGTCCTCACGGGGTCCTCACGAGAGGAAGGGGGAGGCTGAGAGTCAGGGAGAGACTGGAAGAGGCTGTGCTGTGGCTGTGACGGGGGAGGAAGGGGCCCCAGCCAAGGGACGAAAGGCGGGAGCTGGATTCTCCCCTGGAGCCCCCGGGAGGCCCAGCCCTGCTCCTTCCTCCACCTCAGCCCGTGCCATCTGCCCTGGCCTCCAGCCTCCCGGAGAGCTGAGATGATGCATCTGTGTGCTTGAAGGCCACTAAAATTGTGGCAGCGTCAGCGGGAAACTCGCAGAGGAGCCGGGTCCCAGCTCCCCGAACCACACACCCACAGCCTGGGTCCGTGAGACCGGGGCCCTCCAGCGCCTGCTGCCCCGGGGCCTCCCGAAGACCCTGCCCATCCTTCCAGGGCGCTGGTTTCAGAGGGCACCTGAGGCAGCACCGAGAGTGGGCCTAGGGAGAGCCTGCCACGGACAACGGGGGAGGAAACCTGGAAGTGGGGGCAGGACCTGTCTCCCCTCAGGAGGACGCACTGTTAAAAAGAGCCGCAGGTGTGAGCGAGGATGTGGAGACCTGGGACCCTGTCCCCCGGCGGCGGGAACAGAACGCCGGGCGGCCGCTGTGGGTAAGAGCATGCGGATCTTTAAAAGGTTAAACACTGAGTCACCACGGCCACCCCACCCCAGGGGCTCACCCGAGAGAAAGGGGCACAGACGTCCACAATGTGGAAACCCATGTCCGCAGCAGCACGATTCACAGGAGCCCAATGAGGAGACAGCCACGTGTCTACCCACGAGGGAGTGGATCAGCGCAGCGTGCCAGCCACGCACTGGAACACGACCCAGCCACGAACACGAACGGGGCTTGGACACCGGCGCCGCGTGGATGCACCTTGAGGACGTCACACTCACTCAGCAAGAGACGCCAGACACAAAAGGCCACACAGGGCGTGATCCCATTTTTATGAATTGTCCAGGATAGGCCCATCCACAGAGGCAGGGAGGGGATTCAGGGTGCCGGCGCTGAGGGCAGGGGAGACGGGCGTGGTAGCTGGTGGGGCTGGGGTGTTCTTCAGCGGTGCGGGAGTGTGCTCAAATATTAATCCATTACAGCGATGACTGCACAACTCTGAATGCACCAAAAGCACTGAATTGTACACTTTCAATGGTGAACTGTATGCTGCATGATTTATTTCTCAATAAAGCTGCAGTATAAAGTGTGTGCTGGGCGTGGAGGCGTCTGCTGTGAGCGCTGCAAAGGACAACTAAACCCAGCTCCTCCCAGCCTCAAACTCAAGCACACACTGTCTTCAATGATCTGTGTCTGGCCGGGACGGTGGCTCATGCCAGTAATCCCAGCACTTTGGGAGGCCGAGGCGGGCGGATCACGAGGTCAGGAGTTCCAGGCCAGCCTGGCCAGTATGGTGAAACCCCGTCTCTACTAAAAATACAAAAGTCAGGCCGGGCGCGGTGGCTCAAGCCTGTAATCCCAGCACTTTGGGAGGCTGAGGCGGGTGGATCACGAGGTCAAGAGATCGAGACCATCCTGGTCAACATGGTGAAACCCCGTCTCTACTAAAAATACAAAAACATTAGCTGGGCATGGTGGCGCGTGCCTGTAATCCCAGCTACTCAGGAGGCTGAGGCAGGAGAATTGCCTGAACCCGGGAGGCGGAGGTCGCGGTGAGCCGAGATCGCGCCATTGCACTCCAGCCTGGGTAACAAGAGCGAAACTCCGTCTCAAAAAAAAAAAAAAAAAATACAAAAGTCAGCCAGCTATGGTGGCGCGCGCCTGTAACCCCAGCTACTTGGGAGGCTGAGGCAGGAAAATCGCTTGAACCTGGGAGGTGAAGGTTGCAGTGAGCCGAGATCGTGCCACTGCACTCCAGCTGGGTGACAGAGTGAGACTCTGTCTCAAAAAAAAAAAAAAAAAAAAAAATCTTTGTTCTTGGCTGGGCGTGGTGGCTCATGCCTGTAATCCCAGCACTTCGAGAGGCCGAGGGGGCAGATCACCTGAGGTCAGGAGTTCGAGACCAGCCTGGCCAACACAGTGAAACCCCGACTTTACTCAAAATACAAAAAAATTAGCCAGGTATGGTGGCAGGCACCTGTCACCCCAGCTACTCAGGAGGCTGAGGCAGGAGAATCACTTGAACCCGGGAGGTGGAGGTTGCAGGTTGCAGTGAGTTGAGATTGCACCATTGCACTCCAGCCTGGCCGACAGGGAGAGACCCCACCTCAAAAGAAAAAAAAAAACCATAAGAACCTGTGTGCTCTGTGAGCACAGTGAGGACAGAGTCTGCACCGTAAGAAGGCACAGGGTCAGTGGTTTGTCACAAGGGAGCCCTGGTGAGGACTGACCAGCCAGGGCCACTGCTCAGGGTGGCCTAGGCACAGGTGTCAGGGGGACTCGGGTCCCACCCACTCTGCGGCGACAAGAAACTTCCCCAGCACTGTCCTGGGGCCCTCGGCCACAGTCATCACTTCCTGCCACCAGGGTTAACACCCAACAAGGAACCTGCACTTTACATCTTCCTGGTACGAAAACCCCGTCTCCATTTTACAGAGAGAACCAGGCCTCTACGTGCTGGCTCTGTGGACACTGGGGCCCAGTGGTTCTCTGGGGTGGGGCTGCCCCGGGCACTGCAGGGTCTAGCAGCGTCCCTGGCTTCCACCCACTCCATGCCAGGAACATCCTCAGTTAGGGCGACCACAGATGTCCACGGACATCACCCAGTGTCCCTCGGGGTTAAGATCAGATAGCGCAGGGTGAGACTGTGGCTCAGAACATAACGGCTGACTCTACAGCAGCGTCTCATGCTACACAGCTTGTGGGTGGACCGGCTGGGGCTCGAATCCTGGACTCTGTGAGTGGAGCCACTGCTCTTTCTGCCCCACAACTCACTAAACTCAGCAACGCTCGGGGACACAGGCAGCCATCTGATCACGAACCCAGTGCCACGCACCTCCTGAGCCAGGGCTGCTCCACCACGGGCCCCTCCATGGCCCAGCAGAGCCACGTGGATGTTCCGAACCCAGGGGCAGCTGACCCGTCCTGGTTTTGCTGGGGTGGGGGGCACAGCCCCAGGGTGACCACGCAGGTCCCCGCTTGCTTGCTTCTTGTCTATTTTTAGAGACAGGTTCTCCATCTGCTGCCCAGGGTGGAGTGCAGCGGCAGGATCACGGCTCACACTTCAGCCTCGACCTCCTAGCTCAAGGGATCCTCCCACCTCAGCCTCCTGAGCAGCTGGGATCACAGGCACTCACCACCATACCCAGTGAATTTCTTTATTTTTTGTATTTTTTTGTAGAGACAGGGTCTCACTATACTGCCCAGGATGGTCTTGAACTCCTGGACTCAAGCGATCCTTCTGCCTTCCGCCTCCGCCTCTCAAGGTGCTGGGATCACAGATGTGACCCACTGTGCCTGGCCGCCCCGCCTACTTCCCAAGGAAGGAGCAATCCCGAAGACCAGCCTCAGACCCTCCCTGGGAAGCGCCTGATTCAAAGAGGCCACCTCTGTGCTGGTGGTCCCCCTGGGGGCTGGGCAGCCCGGGACACATCCACGCTGGGGCTGAGCTGGTGCGAGCCGGTTTTGGTGAGGAGGGAGACCTGAGGCCCTTTCCCAGTGACAGCTGAGAACCCTGGCACCTGCCCCTGTGATGAGCTCTGCAAGCCAGCCGCACCTGCCCGCAGGCCACACCCCTGCAGCTCAAGGTCAGTAAATCCCCTCGGAGGAAGGGAAAGTAACGGCCACAATCCACCTGGCGCCGAGCGAGACGCTCCTCCACACTGGGAATCACCTCAGTCCCCACACGAACCCAGACGGGGCGAGCGCATGCCCCACCTTACCAAAGAGGGAACCACGCACCCACCCGGCCAGGCCCACGCCTCCCCTCCTCCCCATTTCCGTTTCACACCTGGCCTCCTCACCGACCTCGAAGCCGACTTTCCAACATCAACAGAAATCACAGCACAGAGAAAAACCCAACCCGCCACAGCCAGGAGCTGCCCTCTGTTCACTTCAGTGCCTCCCAGGCCAGTCTGGGGGCTTAGCTTGCAACCACGCCGCCTGGATGGGCAGGCGGGGCCTTCCAGCAGCGGTATGGCGCTCAGGGCTGACTGCAGCCGAGGGAGGAGACCCCCACCTGGGCTGAGCCTCAGGGAGAAGGCGGCTGTTGCCACAGGCCTCCGCTGGTCTTTTGAAAACTTTTTGTGGAGATGGGATTTCGGGCGTGAGCCACTGTCCCTGGCCGGGGTTTGTCTTTTCCCATAGCCCTTTAGAAGCCTGTCTACCAGTCATGCCAGGGCAGTTCCAGAAAACAAGAGAGCAGCCCAAGGGGTTTGTACACTTCCTCCTGGTGTTTCTGTCTCCTTTCAGAGGGGGAGGGGGGCCGGGCACAGCGGCTCAGGCCTGTAATCCCTCCACTTTGGGAGGATGAGGTGGGAGGATCACTTGAGGTCAGGAGTTCGAGACCATCCTGGCCAACATGGTGAAACCCCCATCTCTACTAAAAAACGAAAAAATAGCTGGGGGGGGGTGGTGGACGCCTATAATCCCAGCTACTTGGAAGGCTGAGACAGGAGAATCTCGAACCCGGGGAGGCGGAGGTTGCCGTGAGCTGAGATCACGCCACTGCATTTCAGAGTTAGACTCCATCTCAAAAAAAAAAAAAAAAAAAAAAGGTGGAGGATTTTAAGTGGAAGGAAACATTTTCTGAAGAACCTTGTGGACGGGCAGAGCTCCGGCCACAAGCAAACGGTTTTCTCTTTCCTTTTTCTTTTCTTTTCTTTTTTTTCAGACAGGGTCCTGCTCTGTCGCCCAGGGTGGAGTGCAGTGGCGTCATCACAGCTCGATGCAACTTTGAGCCCCTGGGCTCAAGCCATCCTCCCTCCCTCGCCTCCGAGTAGAGGGACCAAACATGTGGGCCACCACACTAAGCTCATTTTTTTTTTTTTGAGACAGAACCTTGCACTGTGGCCCAGGCTGGAGTGCAGTGGTGCCATCTTGGCTCACTGCAACCTCCGTCTCCCGGGTTCAAGGGATTCTCCTGGTTCAGCCTCCCGAGTAGCTGGGTTTACAGGCACGTGCCACCATGCCTGGCTAATTTTTGTATTTTTAGCAGAAATGGGGTTTCACCATACTGGCCAGGCCGGTCTTGAACTCCTAACCTCATGATCCGCCCACCTTGGGCTCCCAAATTGCTGGGATTACAGGCGTGAGCCACCACACCCGGCCTAATTTTTTACAAGTAGAGACAGGGGTTTCGCCATGTTGCCCAAGCTGCTCTCAAATTCCCGGCCTCAGGCAATCCTTCTGCCCCGGCCTCCCAGAGTGCTGGGATGACAGAGGCGAGCCACCACGCCCGGCCCAAGTACACCGTTTTCTATCAGGAAGAAACAGGCTCCTCGGCGGAGGGACGATCGACCACAGAAAGGGTCTTTTCCAAGGAAAGCCTGGAGCAGCCTGGGGACCCTGACCCCACCCTTGCTGTCCCCCGAGGCCGGGACCGGTTACCGTGTCGGGGGCTCCCTCCGCTCTGCTCTTCTCCGATTCCTCCCGGGGACAGTGTGGGGAACACAAGGCGGGAACTGGTTCTCAGAATTCAATGCCAAGGCCTTCTCGGCTCCCCGGGTCTTCCCCCAGACGAGACCCAAGTGACTCTTGGAAACTTCTAGAGAAATGAAAGGTGAGACGACAAATTCCCCTGCCGCAACACCCCTATCCTTTTTTTTTTTTTTTTTACACAACACAGTTTCTCTAAGCAACCAACTGGTATGACCCCTCCCCCACTGAGGTGCAGCAGCTCACAGCCCACAGTCACCCACTTCCTTCCGGAGGCTTCCACATCCTGCCACTGCCTCGGGGACCGCTGCCCCAGAGCATGGGAGGAGCCGGAGAGACAAGCCCTGAGCGGAGACGTCCATTCCCTATGTTCTAGGTCAGTGCGCAACACTGGCTCCCGGCCTGGCAGCCCTGATACTTGGCTGGAAGATGCTCCCAGCCCAGAATCTGTCCTGGGAGCGGCGTCCCAGGGCCACCTTCCAAAACCTGAGTATTTATTTAAGTTTTACTTTTATTTATTGATTTTGAGACAGAGTTTTGCTCTTGTCGCCCAGGCTGGAGTGCAATGGAGTGATCGAGACTCACTGCAACCTCCCCTCTCCTGGGTTCAAGGGATTCTCCTACCTCAGCCTCCCGAGTAGCTGGGATTACAGTCATGCACCACCACACCTAGCTACTTTTTTGTATTTTCAGTAGAGATGGGGTTTCTCTTATGTTGGCCGGGCTGGTCTCAAACTCCCGACCTCAGGTGATCTGCCTGCCTCGGCCTCCCAAAGTGCTGGGATCACAGGCTTGAGCCACCGCGCCCGGCCTCAGCCTCCCGAGTAGCTGGGACTGCAGGCATGCGCCACTATGCTATGCTAATTTTGTATTTTTAGTAGAAATGGGTTTCACCATGTTGGCCGGGCTGGTCTCGAACTCCTGACCTCAAGTGATCTGCCTGCCTCAGCCTCTTGAAGTGCTGGGATTACAGGTGTGAGCCACTGTGCCTGCTCCATCACTGCTGAGTGAGAGTCTCCGACTGCTCTTCTGGGAAGCAGACAGGCTGGAAGTGAGGCCTGCCCAGGCCACCCCAGGCCAGGTGCCATCAAGGGGTTAGCATTCTTCCCCAGTCCCCCTGATGACCCTTTCTTCTGTTTTCAGATGGACGTGTGACTCACATACCACAGATTTTCACCATTTAAATTGTACAGTTATGTGGTTCCTGGCGTGTCTGGAGTTGTGCAAACACCACCTTCAACTAATTCCAGAACACTCTCACCACCCCTAAACCCTGTCCAAGCGCAGCGGCTCACACCTGTAATCCCGGCACTTTGGGAGGCCTAGGCAGGAGGATTGCCTGAGGCCGGGAGCTCAAGACCAGCCTGGGCAACCTAGTGAGACCCCGTATCTGCAAAAAATACTTAGAAAGCAGCTGGGCATGGCGGATGTGCCTGTACAGTCCCAGCTTCTTGGGAGGCTGAGGTGGGAGGATCGCTTGTGCCCAGGAGGTCGAGGCTATGGTGAGCTATGATTGTGCCACTGCACTCCAGCCTGGGGGACAAAGCGAGACTGTATCTCAAAACAAAAGGAAGCAAAACTAAGATCGTGTCACCTAGGGGAGTTACAGTGACGAGACGTGGCGGGTGCCTGTGGTGCTTGCTTCAGAGTACCCAGCCCAGGTTTCAAAAGGCAAGAGCCCAAGCGTCAGGAAGAGGAAGCCACAGGAAGGAATGCCCCAAGCGCCCATCAAACTCAGGCTGCACTCCTTCCATGGGGCCTTTACTGCCGGAGGCCACAGGGTGGGGGCTTGACTTGACACCGCCTTCTTGGCCTCCTGGACTGCTTCGGTCTGAGCGAGGAGGCAGAAGCCATGGTCTGAGCCTGGCCAGTGGGAGCCTGGCTTCCCCCTACCATCTCGCCTCCTCGTGGCCACTGTGAAGAGCTCCCAGCACACTCGATGCAGCAGGGGGCTCCCTTGGGGGGCGGTTCTGCACGCTGGGGGACACCGGGTGATGTCTGGGGGCATTTATGGTTGTCATGACTGGGTGATGCTCCTGGCACAGAGTGGGTGGTGGCCAGGGATGCTGCTCTGTGCCCTGCAGTGCCCAGGACACCCCACCCCAGAGAACAATCTGCCTGAAACGACCGCAGTGCCAAGGGGAAAAGCCTGTCCTGGGAGCGGCAGAGCCAGGAATCTAACTATTCCTTTTCTTTTCTTTTCTTTTTTTTTGAGATGGAGTCTCACTCTGTCCCCCAGGCTGGAGTGCAGTGGCACAATCATAGCCCACTCCAGCCTCAACCTCCAGGGCTCAAGCAATCCTCCCTCCTCAGCCTCCTGAGTAGCTGGGACTACTGGCGTGTGCCACCATGCCTGGCTAATTTTTGTATTTTTTGTGGAGATGGGTCTTGCTACACTGCCCAGTGGCACAATCATAGCCCACTCCAGCCTCAACCTCCGGAGTTCAAGCAATCCTCCCACCTCAGCCTCCTGAGTAGCTGGGACTACTGGCGTGCATCACCATGCCCAGCTAATTTTTGTATTTTTTGCAGAGACAGGGTCTTGCTACGTTGACCAGGCTTAGTCTCGAACTCCTGACCTCAAGCTATCCTCCCACCTTGGCCTCCCAAAGTGCTGGGATTACAGACGTGAGCCACTGAGCACAGCTGTCTCCCTCTTTAATGAGTAATTTTTAGAACTTGCCAACCTCATCACTAGTTAGTAGACAGTGACTGTCGCTTTCAGAGGTGTAGACATGCATCTGGCCGTCCGTGCTTCTCCTGCTTTCTGGGGACCACTCCCCTATGCACTCATAAACCAACTCCACTGGGGTTCACGCCCCAGCCCCGTGAGGCTGGTAGCGTGGGTTGAAAGTGGACTCTCCTGTCCCTACTCAGTGATCGCGGATCTCTGCTTCACTAGTAAACAGGCCTGACATCTGCTGGGGCCCCGGAGGACATGCTTGTGTAAGACTCATCATTTCCTGGCCAGCGGACGGGCTCCCCGGGCTGCCCATCTGGAAGCTGAGGCCAGCTGCCTCGCCTGGGGGTACGCGGTGAAAGGGACGAGTCTGGGCTTGAACTCATAACCTTCAATTCCAAATCCGGTGTGTCTGCCACTAGGGCAGGGTTTCCATTCTCCGCACTGTGGACACCGGGGTGGGTCACTCTCTAGGGAGGGGCAGTCCTGGGCACTGCAGGGTGTTGAGCAGCGTCCCTGGCCTCCACCCACCGAATGCTGGGAGCACCCCCAGTCATGAGAAAAACACAAAGGTCCGAGACTTGGCCCAGTGTCCTCTGGGGACAGAATCACCCTCAATGGACACCCCTTGGCTTAGGGATTCCTCAGACCCCCAAGAGACTCTGCGTCCCATGATCCTCTGCTCTGCTGAGGTCCCAGGAGGCTACTGAAATCCACACCCTGAGTGGGGAGGGGAGAGGAGAATCCCAGGAGCTAGGATGCCCCTGGTTCACACTGTCTGCCACATCGGGAGTGTGTTCTATTGTCTGGTATGAGCAGGGAACAGACTTGATTTTTTTTTTCCAAATAATTAATGCAGTCTTCCCCTCAGCATTCAGGGCCGGATCGTTTTCTGGGGTGAGTTTGTCCTAGGCACTGCAGGTGCTGAGCGGCGTCCCTGGCCTCCACCCACTCCATGCCAGGGGAGGGGCACCCCCGCCTTCAGTTGTGACAAACACAAGTCCCCCCCCACATTTCAAGTCCCTTGGGGGCGAAACTGCCCTGGGGGAAGACCCCAGCTAGACTGGCAGCTTCCCCTCTGCTGTACAAGGGACTCCACCAAGGGAATTCTGGGGACTTGACACCTAACGCATCTCTGCCCAGCCGTGGCCGCATACCCAGAACTCCTTGGCTGCAGGGCACTTCTGAAACCAGCAGGCACAGCTGGCAGAGTTGGCCCTGTGACTCAGGCTGTCTTAATTCTCTAGGGCACTTGGGGCCCGGCTCCCCACCCAGATGTCCCAGCTCAGCCCATCCCTTTGTCCCCAGCGGGGACTGTCCATGCTTTGAGGGGCTCACACCCGAGACCACTTCCTTTTTCTTCCCATTCGCCTCATGGCCCAGAGGCTGTTGGGGGCTGAGTCAGGGCCGGACCACCCTGCCCCCTGCCCCCAACCCCGACAGGCCTGAATACCGTGATGACTCTGCCCCTCAACACCAGGCAATGTCTGAGGACACTGGTGGTTGTCAGGTTGTGAGGGGATCTCCTGGCACGGAGTGAGTGGAGGTCAGGGACACTGCTCAGCACCCTGCAGTGCCCATGACACTCCACCCCAGAGAATGACTGGGCCCTGAATGTCCATAGTACCTAGCCCCACACAGGGACACCCTGGCCCCAGCCCCACACAGGAAGTCACTAACAGCTTCCTCCTCCCCATGAGACGTACAGTTGATGAAATATGACATTAAACGTAGCCATGATGAAAATACATGCATTATATTAACATACTAATAAGCTAAAGACAGACTCTGTATCAAAACCAGAAGACCTAAGAGGAAAAAAACCACCACTTGTGGGGAAGAAAAGGGGAGAGAAACCTATGTGAAATTGACCCCTGTAGTAAGTAGCCTCACAAGCAAGATTCCAGGGCCGCTGCAGGCCACATCAGGAGAACACGCGCTTCCTGCAAAGTCATCCCAAGCCCATCTGGCTAGAAAGAAAAGCCTGAAACTTGAGCCAAAGCCCGTCAACCCGGGGGAGACTTCTCATCCCCACGTCATCCAGGGCGGCCCAGCCACGCGGTTTTAAGAATGAGACACAGGCCCTGGTGCGGAGGAACACCCAATATCCGATAAGCGCAAAGAGTAAGTTGCAAAACAGAATGGATACTGAGACCTTTTTTTGTTCAAGAAAGAATAAATGGGTACAACCGTGAAAAAACAATCAGGAACTATTGTCTCTGGAAGCAAGTTTTTCCTGCTGTTTGTCGGTCTGAGACAAGGTCTCGCTCTGTCACCCAGGCTGGAGTGCAGTGGTGCAATCACGGCTCACCGCAGCCTCGACCTCTCGGGCTCAAACCATCCTCCCACCTCAGCCTCTCCAGTAGCTGGGACCACAGGCGCACGCCACTACGCCCAGCTCATCTTTGTATTTTTGGTAGAGATGGGGT